AGCCAGTCTTTATTACAGCTGGCCGGCGCGACCAAGCCTGAAACCTTAGTGAAAGAAAATGGGGATCGTGTCACAGTTTCTCCTTCGTCCCTCCTCTTCACTCACATCGCCACATAGACTTAAAGGGATAGTGCACCCAAAAATGAAGATTCAGCCATTATCTACTCACCCATATGCCGAGGGAGGCTCAGGTGAAGTTTTAGAGTCCTCACATCACTTGCAGAGATCCAAGGGAAGAGGAGGTAGCAACACAACTCCACCTAATGGAGGCTGACGGCGCCCCAAATTCAAACGTCCAAAAACACATAATTGAAACCACAAAATATCTCCATACTGCTCGTCCGTAGTGATCCAAGTGTCCTGAAGCCCCGACATAAAAAGTTGTTTGGAAAAACATCATTTGAACTCTGTTTTTAGCCTCAATGTAGCCTGTAGCTCTGACTGCCTCTCTGGGCACCGCCCTCACGTGTGTGCGCTTGTGCGAGACTGTGATGCAAACACAGATGTACAGGTAAGCAAGCGCTCCCTTTAAGGCCATGTGACCCAGATCCAGCTGTTTTTCTCTCATGTGACACAAAACTGATTTTGATATTTCAGCAGAAATGGGAAAAATATATTTAATGTGTTTCCCTCAGCTGAAAATAAGAATCATTGTGTTTTCGTTATGAGACGTTTACAGTTGGAGTCAGGGAGTTACAGTAATATATTATGTTTTAGGAGCAACAAACATGATCCACTGGATTTTGGGTTTGATTATTACATTTACAGTGTCACGAAACATGTTACCACCAGAAATAAACAGTTGTTTACTTTTTCCTTTGCAGACTCCACATAAGTTTGCTCATCAGGCTCACTAATGCTTCTGAATCGTTGGCGACAGGCCTCAGGAACCTGCTCATAAGCCTCGAGGATAGCATTTTTATCTGCATCATAACCTTCACTTTCTTGATGGCTCAGAGTAGAACAGGCTTCCTGAGTCTTTCCTACCAACACACTCTGGAGAAGCAGCGTCTGAGCCTGCTGAGGCCACACAGCTGCAACACGCTCAAAATGAGGGAAATGTTTCTGCATCCTTCTCCTCAAATGATGGAAGCAGGCTGATGTTTTTAACGCCAAACTCAGACAGTTCAGACGTGTTCAAATTCCAGCTCATGTTCCAACAGCACTCGTTTCTCTTTTCTGTCCGTTCAGCTCTGTAACCTCAGCTGAGCGGCAGCATCTGACAGTGAAGGTGACACATTTGTTGAATCTTCGGATGGGTCAGACAGAAATCTGCAGACTCAGTTGAGACCTGTGGTGCAGGATCAGTCTTGGAAAGATCATCATCTTTAATACTCAGCAGTAATCTGAACGTTATAATAATGAGCAAGTTTCAGCAGCTGATCTTTGGTAAATTGATCAAGCAGCTCCTCTGAAGGTGCTTTAAAAAAGTCATCAAGGGAGGCTGCATTTAAGGTCTCTCCTGCACTGAATCACAACTGAGGTCCAAACACTAACGTCCTTCAAAGGGACACCAAAACAAACCAGTGTGTATAAAGCCCACAATCAAAAGTGTCCACACAACAGCAGCAACTTAAAGGTTCTCTCTAATGGATATCAAAGCCACAGTCACAAAGAACGAACCCTTCAAGCCACAAAAGTTGCACCAAATTGTTCCCAAAGTCGCTCCTTCAGGTGACCACCGGTGTCACTCACGACACTCAACTCAAGGAAATCTGGCCCACCAAAAGTCAAGTTCAATACTTAAACCTGACAAACCAAAAGCTGATCAACATCAGTCAGGTTCACGGACACCACAAGTAGCTGAGCTGCAACTTACCCACCTAACTCAACTCATCTGCCAGCATCTCACCACAGTCCCACAGTGAGCCAGTGTCTGAGTGCACAAACCACCACTCGACCACACGGCCAAGGCCCTGACACGCTTACCCCTGCCAGAAAACCAGGTCTCCACCCAGGATTACTCCTGAAACAAAAAAGGCAAAATAAGAAACGAGTGACTGAAGGAAGGACCAATGACTCGATCCAGCCATCACTCCCTAACTAACCAGGGAGATCACTGAAAAACCAAACTGCACCAAAACACTAGACATACCATAGATACTCACCAAAAGGAAGATAACTCAGCAGCCCTCCTCCACCACGTGCCACCGAGCAAACATACACAAACCTACTCAGCCGAGGACAACAAAGAAACTCGAGGCCCCAAGATGTTACGCCCCGGCTCAGGGGAGCAACACAGAGGAGTCAACAACATATGTCCAGTCACATAAAGTTTATTGTCAAATGAATCTAACAAGGAAGAGACAGAGAGTGGGCGTGGCCAAGTGGGGCATTAATCAGATGCTAGAGGTCACATGACCATGTGGAGGGAGGTCCTCAGGGAGACCTGCAACAGCTCTACAGAGAAAAAGAATCAGGTCAAACATATGAACACATCACACCACACAGGGAGATGTCCATGTCTCTACAGTAGCCCAGAATGGACAAACCAAACCCTGGCTGTAGCCACCGCTGTTAGCAGCCCCTCTGTAACAAGCAGCGTGACAAAAACATGACACAAGAGTGTTTCCTGGTGTGAAGAGACCTCTGAGGATGATTCAGCTCCTGAGCAGTGAAGGGACTCTGACCAGGAGAAGTTTCAGATGGTTGTAATCTGTAATCTGTAATCTGTAATCCTCACTGACAGACGTCACTCAGTCCTCCTGAATCTGACACACTGGAGCTTTGAGACAGCTCGGCCTGAGTTTAAAACCACCTCACACTGAACGATTGAACTCACAGGAGCGAAACTCCCATGATTTTATTCACACGCTGGAAATTTGTCAATTCGTCAATTCAATTCAATTCAGTTCAATTGTCAATTTTCATTTGTCTCTGACAGTAAAATCACTTGAAGAGTCGGTTGGTGTAAGGTGGGTATACCATGAACTGGGAAATATATTTTCTATTTTAATAACACTATTAAGAACAATGATCTGGAACTCCTCTCATATGTTAAAGCATCTTTAATTTGTTGTCTCTGTGAGGACCAGCTTGAGTTTTACAGTCTGGTCTCACTGTGGAGAACAGAAATAATAACAGTGTGTGAAACGACAGAGACGAGCAGCAAAATTCAACATTTGTCTGCAGTGTGCACTTTAACATTTGTGACAGGTGACATGATGCATGTGCTGTGTGTAAACTCAGTTAACATGGTGGAGCCCTCTGCACAAAGCTGCCAAAGTACGACTCTGTGACTTCAGAGTATAATTCATTTTTTTTACTTGATATTTATGACATAATTATCATCCTTAAAGTTCCTGTGACGGGGAGTTCAGACTCTGTCACTGTGGTCAGTTGGTGCCTCACACCTGCTGCACTCCATCTGTGCATCTAGGATCCATTTTCTACTGTGTGTGTCTGAGAGTGATTGAGGGGGTGCATGTGTGCATGAATGAGTGAGTGAGTGAGTGAGTGAGGGCTGTGTGTGAGTGAGTGTGTGTGTGACTAACATAATAACATGAATGAAGCTCAGGCTTCAACAAACTGACCTCAGCATTTTAGTTTCCATGTGTTGCTGTATTCTCTAGCAGCTCACACACATGACACATCACAGCTAACGTTAGCCGCCGCGCTGACTTCTCTTATTGATCAGCTGTTATAAAACCATAACACACGTATGATCTGATCAGTATGATCAGTAATTAAACGTGACGTTAAGTACCTTGTTGTGTCGGTGACCTCGATCACACACTGGATGTTTCTGACTTAGATGTTGCAGCATTGAGGACGTGTTGCTGTGGCATGCTAACTCTGATTTGCAACACACTCTGAACTGTTGTCATTTTAACCTGCAGTGATCCCACGCTCTACACTTCCTGTCCTTTTCCTTGGTGTCTCCTCTTTTTGTCTCTCTTCCTCCATCGTTTTGCAAACCACACTACATCCATGTTACGGCTGCGCAGCTTGTGCAACAGAAACAACTGTCCATGCAAAACTCAGCGCGCTGTATATTTGTGCTGAGTTTAACGATTACTTTTTAGTAATCAAATTATTGGAATTATTTGAGGAATCGTTTCAGCCCTCGCTGTGAGAGATGTGGACACATTTATGGACATACGAGGCTATGAACATGTGTTATGCTCTCCTGAAACAGACCAACTCCTGTTTGGTCATGTGTTGTGGTGAGAATGCCCTGTACCGCCCTTTTCTTGCAAAACGTCCGATGTCAAATTAACATGTACCGACTAGGAAGAGCAGAGGTGGTGGGGCCCTTTGCGTATCTGTGCCCGGGGACCTGTCCCATGTTCATTTCTGTGGCCATAATGTGCGATTATCTTGTTCCTTCTGCATACATTTAGATATCGTGTCTCAGCATCATGCTGTGAGCTTCAGGGACATGATCTGTGTGTGAGTGTGTGTCAGAGGGAGCAGCATCACCCAGACGATGAGGAGAAGGTGTAAATAAATCAGACTGACCCAGTTTCTGCAGCCGAGGTCCTGAAAGAAACTCTGCGTCAGGACTGAGTCTGCCTCAGCCCCTCTGACAGGTTTACTGTGGTCCAGAACAAAGTGCGCTCATATATCCTAGTTTCACTTGTTTGTTTTTGTGCGCTGACAGGATTTATATGATTCTACTTTGATTACACAGAGAAGAAGAAACGAAGCGACTCAGGTGGATTTTAAACTTTGTTTTTATTTCACTTCTGTTGTTTTGTAAAAGAAGAAATCAGCTCTGAAGCTCCGTTAATATCACACACACAGACTGCAGGTGTGTGTGTGTGTGTGTGTGTGTGTGTGTGTGTGAATCACAGGGTTAATTATTAGTGTGTGTGTGTGTGAATCACAGGGTTAATTATTAGTGTGTGTGTGTGTGTGTGTGTGTGTGTGTGTGTGTGTGTGTGTGTGTGTGAATCACAGGGTTAATTATTAGTGTGTGTGTGTGTGTGTGTGTGTGTGTGTGTGTGTGTGTGTGTGTGTGTGTGTGTGTGAATCACAGGGTTAATTATTAGTGTGTGTGTGTGTGTGTGTGTGTGTGTGTGTGTGTGTGTGTGTGTGTGTGTGTGTGTGAATCACAGGGTTAATTATTAGTGTGTGTCAGTAAAGCGACATGCATTTAGAAGGCTTCAGATATCTGTCTGTCGGGGGAGGGGCGGAGTCAGTCTGGTGATTGACAGGGGGTGGGCGTGGCTTGTAGGACACTTGCGGCATAGCCATGTGAACTCTCGGCCTGGTGGGTGATGTCATCCCACACAGACCAATCAGCTGAGAGCATGAGTTTGTACGACCTGATTCAATTCAGAGTGTTAAAAAGTGACATCAGTGTTTGTGTGAGTGTGTGGAGTTATGATGCTGAGGCAGTGTAACCATGGCAACAGGAGGGTAGATGATGATGTTGAGAAGGAGGGTTTCTCTTGGTTAATGAGGTTAGGTTACACACAGTGGATGAGGAGGGTCAGAGGTCAAAGCGTTGAGTGACAGATAAAATGTAAAGGTTCCTCTTCTCTCGTTGCTCATTGGACAGGAAGAAACAGGAAGTGGCTGCAGGTCTAGAAAGACGAGATTCTGGAGACACAGAAAAACAAAATGAAGGGAAGGTAATTAATAGTGGTTTTGTGGTTTGATATTTAGATACCATTTTCCCAAAGTTAATGCAGCACAGTGTCGGCGTCGACCCACGCTGGATCAACGTTCATCTCGGTGAGCAGGGCTGTAACGGTTTGTGCTGAACGATCGCCGTCTGGTGCGTGAAGAACACACAATGTGTCGCCTGATGCATGTGATGTGGAACCAAAGTTCATGAGTGTTAGTTCTTCTCAGAAACTGTTAACCACACGCTGTTCGCAACATGCTCTGAGGTCAGCACAACAAGCCGATTGGCTGTGAGTCAGTCACGCCTTTGCAAGCGCAAATGAAACAGCAGCCTGCAGGCTCCCTCTCAACTACGACAACACTGAAGAGAGACTTGTGCATGAAAGGAAACACACCCAACATGCTAACGCACATCTGATAGCATCACCCAGATGTGCCGATTATCAGGATGATGAATTTTCGGGTGAATATTTAAATAAAGCCAAGGTGGAACAAACTGAAAGACTCCTCCTAAAGTCCAAAACACACCGCTGCATACAGCGCGCTTCAAAACAGCCGCCTATTATTTTTTCTGTACAACCCCACAGTGGCGCCGCCCTGCGACACATCACACTACTGTCCTGTTTCCAGCCTCACCACTCGCCCATTCACGTCCTGTTTGTACATCCAAGCTCCCTGTTAGGACCAGCTGTATCATTCAATGTGTATCTTTTATTGTGCGGCAGCGGTGATGTTTCAGGAGAGTCCGAGCTCTCGTTTCTTGTGAGGATCTTTGTGTCTCTCCAGGTGCAGACGCCTAGCACCAATTGGGTGACTCTCCGTGACATCACTGCTGACTGGTGGTGCTGGGGGCTTGGCTTTAACTGTATTTTGGTCCCCTGACATCACAACCCTAAATTCCACCAAATATCAACATCTACCTCTGCTGGTGGCAGCTGGGAAAGACAGCTGCCACCAGCAGAGGTAAAGCTAAAGTAAACCTAAACTAAAGCATCAAATGTGGATAAATCTGCCAGTAGTCCCCAGGCAAAGCTCCTTTTCCTCCTGTTTGGGTTGAAAATGTGATTTTATTGTTGGTAGTTTTCTCACCTACTGTGCAGCCTGTTCAGTCTGTTCTCCCTCGGCTTCTGTTTTTGGGAGGCTGGCCTGCAGGAGAGATGGAGCAGAGGTCACATGACAGCCACCAAACTTTGTACAAATCCATTCACATACAAAACTACACTTCTCCCAGAACAAGTTACGCAGGTGGAACTAATGACATGACGTGTTTGTCTCATCAAGGTTTAAATGGTTACTAATAAACTGAAGATTTAACACATCACAACATCCTGTTTACAAAACTGACTTTTTAAATTGGTCCCGTCTGATTGAACCATTTAACAATCGTTTGCTATGGGAGGAGTGTAACTTCGTATCTGTAGAACGGTTCAGCAGCAGGAGAGCAGGGAAATCTTTCTGTTGAGATGAAGCCAAAGATGAGCTGAAGCTGAAAGAGACAGCCATGTTAGTCAGTGTTGATGTCACGACTGAATATTTATAAACCCTTTAAAACTCATTTCCAACCTGATCTGTAGTTTTCTTATTGCTTTTTTCTTTGTTCTTTGTTTCCCAGATTTCAGGTAAACACAACCATCAGGATGCTATGTTAATCATCACCATGGTGAAACCCATCCGAACTAAACTCAGTAAACAAACATAATTATAAACAGTTAAGACAATAGATTCTGAAAGTAGAACGACGACGTAAACTTTCTTTCTCTGAAGGGTGCAGTTGTTGTTAGTGAAGTAAAGCAAGGCGTCATCGGCATAACAGCGAACATTAAGAGGATTTCAGCAGAGCAAACAGTCTTTCCTTTTCCATGCATCCTTTCTTCTTCATGCTTTGTTAGTTTTATAAATGTGTCAGAGGAAACTGACACGATCTGGCTCAAAGGCCGCATCAAAAAGGAGGAAGCACACAGCTTAAAAGTTACAAAAAGATACTAAATTTATTTAAATAAATAATGTTTGTCATCACACATTGATATCAGCACCCTTCTAGCATTTCTTTTTTTAAAGATTATATTTTTGGCCTTTAATTTATAGGACAGTGGTGAGTGTGAAGGAGTGGGAGCGATTGGATGACATGTAGCAAAGGGCAGCAGGGTCGAATCCAACCGCGGGCCCCTGCAGCAAGGACACTGCCTTTGTACATGAGACGCCCGCTCTACCCACTGAGCTACTGGGTGCCTCAGCCATGTATTATTTCTGTTTAAATATCTGTTATAAAAGTTAGGTTGTATATAAGAGGCTTCTAGGCTTGAGAGTAGTGATGGCCAAATGAAGCCTCATGAAGCTTTTTCTTTATTTTCTGAGCCCACTAGATGGCGCTTTTTGTTCATCAAAAGGTTGAAGGCACACTGAATTGCTATTCTTGGAGCCTCTCTCTTTAAACCAAGAGCACCATCTAGTAGAGATTTTCAGTCTCAATGGGACTTCCTGGTTAAATAAAGATTTAAAAAAGTAGATAATGTTTACTGCTCTTTCAGCTAATCTGTTCTTACTATTACAACTGCCACAACCATGACTAATAACCAACACAGGACTGCTACATCTAGCTGCCGTATAAGAGGCACCGCGCAGCAGCATTTTTTGACCCTCAAAAGCAAGACTCTGCAAAGGGAAGGTGGGTGGGGTCAAACAAAGCCCACTGTTTATTTCCTGTGTGTGTTAGTGTGTGTAGCATTCTACCGTGGTGACATATGTAATATGATGACATATTAGTAACAAAAGTCCTTATTTTAAGCCAAACCAAGATTTAAGGAAGGAAACCTAAAAATAAAGTGTTTTTAAACTTATGCTGTACATTTATTTTGAAAAGAGGCTGTACACATCTAATGAGTGGAAACTGTGCGTTTCCTGTGAAAACATTTGTTCATTCTGAAAAGATACTAAGCATGTGTAAACTCACACGTGAGCGATAAGAAGTGACGCTGAAGGAGCATCTGGAGCGCCATATTTTGGTGTGTAAGGCCACTGACTGAGCATCGGTATTCAAAAGTTGGACACAAGAATGTTTTGACCAGTTAACTCTCCCAGTACTACCACTGATGCTAATGACACGCACTCAGTCTCAGTGTGCAGATGTTTAAATAAAAGTAAATGATTCAAATGTAATAACGTCTCTGAAGATAATCCTGAGTTTGATGTAAAAAGCTGTGAGTCCTGAAAAAGCATTTTAAAGTCAGAAAGTTTTATCGGGCAACGAGCGTCATGCCATGCAGCCAATCAGTCACGTAATCCCCCCTCAACCAATCAGGCACCTCCTCAGACACTGGTTCTTCCTCCTCCTGTTCCCAGCCAATCAGCAGAGATTCATGAAGAGAAAAAAATAAAAGTTATGGACACAACAAAAATTATAATATTAATTGTTGTGGGATTATATGTGTTATAACTGAGGCAGAGGAAAATCTATTTTTGTCTTTTATGCCACTACCATTTGTTTTTCTTCATATTCACTGTTTTTTTTATTATTTATTTATCTGTGAAACATTTTATTTTGTCAGTGGAAATGAAAATAAAAACCTTATGTTTTAGACTTTACTGTTTACATCACTAATACCTGCAACAACTGCCTCTAAAATAATAGAATAATATTTTGAACGTGTTGATATACCTTGATCACTTCCCCTCTAAACCAAAACTGCATTTAAAAATAATTAAAATACAATATTAACTAAGAATAAATAAATAAATAAATAAATAGAATGTTGACAACTGATGAAGTTAAAATTAAAGGAAGACATAGAAATAACTAATATTTAAATATTTAATAATACCTAAATATTTAATATTAATTGATAGATCATTTTACACAGGCATAACTAATAAAAATAATAAAATTCAATTAAAAGTTAAAATTAAAATTTTTGAAATTAAAGTAAGCTATTTTTTTAAATAAAAAAGCATAAAATGTAAACTTTAATAATTAATATTCAAATATATATAACAGCATAAACAGATAACATGAATAATAAAATTAGATCAAAGTTAAAATGAACATTCATGAACTGAAATTAAAACTGATTAAAACTGATAAGAAAATGTTGACTTTAATTAGTCTAAATATATAATTACACATTTAGAGATAATTTCAGACAGCTGCAACTAATTACACGGGTAATTAAATAAAATGCTAATATTAACATTTTTAAATTGAAATAATTATTTCTACTTACAATTAAAGAATAATGAAAGGAAAGTAAATTTAAAAAAAAACAACAACATTAATAGATCATTTTAATTTACAAAATTAAAATGTCTAATTTGGGTCATGTGATGTGACATCACACACCTTGGTGACGAATCCGGTGGCCAGAGCTGCGTTCTCCACCCCCTCCACCGTTGCCTGGGCGACCTCGTTGGCCCCGGTGACCGCAGTGTCCGCTACAACGTTGGCCTGTTCGGTCGACTTCTGGGCGACTGGATGACAGGAAACAGGAAGTAAACATAACACAGATACGTGACAGATGCCGTTTCCTCATGTTAAAAACAACTGATGAAAAGTTTGTAAATATTACAACAATATTAAAGTTTTATTTGTTGTTTATTCATTTCTTGGCCCCTGCAGTCGAGTCAGTGGTTTGATTAAAGAGGCTTTTACGCCCTGAGTTCAGTCTCCCAGTGCATCTGTACAAACAGCTTCAGCTTATAAATAGGATCCGGGGCGTGGACAGGAATGTCGGAGGCACTCAAGAAAAGTTTAAAACGTCTTTTGTCTGGGTGCTAATTAGTGTGTAGCAGTGTGTGTAGCAGTGTGTGTACCTGTGTTAACACCGGTCACAACTCCCTCCATCGTCTTGTTTCCTGGAAAAGAGGAAAAAAACAAAACATGATTGAACTGTGAATACATTTATATTATTTTCCTGTCTAATAGTAGAGAAAGGCCTTTTATTTCTCATTTCATTCATAGCAATAATTTAAAAGTAATGAGTCTGTTTCCTGATCTGCTCCTCTTTTAACCCTCTATTGACACAAACCAACACTTCCTCCATGTTTGCTTTAATTTAAATTTAATTTTATAATCATTATCATATAACATAATAAATAGAATTTCCAGTAATTTCATTCGACCAGTAAAACCACAGCGTCCCGTCACACACTCAGTGCTCTGCTCTGTTTAACAGTCTGATTACGTCTCATTTCTTTTACTGTCTCAGGTTTCAGTCCTGCAGGTGTTTCAAATTAAAAGCCTTTTACCAGCTTGAAGTGCACCTTTCTTCTTGCTTCTTGTCAGGCTTTTATTTTGAAATGTGCAGGAAATGTTAAGTTTCACTGACAGTAATTACACAGCAGGAGAACAGAAACGTGGCAACGTAGAATTTAATTAACATTTAGATTTAAAATTTACATTTAAATTTAATACCTGTATTTAACATTTAAAAATTTGAATCAATATTTAGATTTAATATTTATATTTAACATTCAGGTTTAACATGTAACATTTCGATTTTTGATCCAACATTTAACATCGATACTCAACATTTAGACTTAATGTTCAGATTTAACATTTAGACTTAGTATTAGGATTTAACATTTAAAGTTTAGATACAACACGAAACTTTTACATTTAATGTTTAGATTCAACATTTAACATTTATATTTAAAACTTAGATTTAACATTTAATTTTTTTCAAAAATGTCAACATTTAGATTTGATATACATAGTAAACACATAGATTAAACATCTAACTTTTAGATTTCAAATCTGAAATTTAGATTCGAATTTTAGATTTAACATTTAACATTTAGATTTAACACTAAGATTTGACAAATCAACAGTTAGATTTAATATATATCACAAGTTCAGATTAAATGTGATTTTTTTAAATGTCAGAACCAAACAGATCATGCTTCCTTCTGCACAGTGAAACGGTTGGCCGGTGAAGTTCCGTAAAAAGAAAATAGTGGCGACTTTTTTAAGATATGATGACAGGTGAAGAAAATAAAAATAATTGTGGTCGACTTCTGCCTGCAGCTTCAACAAACATCTGTTCAGCTGGAGTGTGAAAGTGACTCTGGACGTGACCTGGTTTACTCTCAGCTGCTCTCTGCATTATTTATCCATGTCACCCAGTTTACACGCAGACGACCAGCGCAGCATCGACCCCACTCTGCTCTCATTATTTTATCATTACTTTATTGTCTCTCTCAGACTGTGTCCTATTTTTCCAGACTCTGATTGGACCAAACTCAACAACAACAGCCTTCATGTCTCTGGGGTTTTTTTTGTTTTGTTTTTTTCTTCAGATTTTTGGATCAGTATCAAGTGGACTTCAGCTCTCAGCCGGCGTCTTGTTGTCCGGTCCAGATTCAGATTGAGAGTGATGTTTCTCCCAGTGGGCGTCCTGCTGGTTGGACATGTGACGGATTAAAGTGAACAGACTCTTTGTTGTGTGAGCAGCAGACAGTGAATCACGGACTGTGTTCGCTCAGACAAACAAGTTACAGTTACAGCAGCTCAGTGTGGAAACACAGCAGCTGTTTCCACACAGGCGGCCGAACCATTGAGGCTGATAACGGAACTGAGGCTGACAACACATCCTCACCCCGACCTCGTCACATACTGACGTTTGGTTTCCACGTCCACGTACAGCGTCCAAGGTACCCTGGATGTGTTGTTTCAAAATACACTTCTGTTTTCACAGGAAATTTAACATTTACATGCAGTCTCTTTGAAAATAAAAGCACTACATTGGTACAACGCTGTGAACTGACTTTTTTTCCCTTCAACAACAGAACATGGTTGGGTTTAGGAGAAAAGAACGTTTGGCTTTATAATCTTACACAAAGTGAACATCGCTCTCTTGGGTGAAAGTCGTGGTTTGTTGGACCAGTTCACCACCCCTTCCGCCTGCCCCACTCTGACTTTCGCCATCTTAGCTTTTGTCCTTGTCCCGCTGCGTTTCCCCAGACACCACCGGGAACCGTTAAACTTTAACAGCAACCAATCGTGTATTATGCCGACATGAAAGGACGGCTTTTTTTTGTTGGTTTCTGACACTGCAAGTCACTGCCCAAGCACCAGAATTTGACAACTTTGGAATGAGACCAGGCTGATGACTGAACTGAGACTGATGATTGATCCATCAGCCTCAGTTCAGTCAGTCCCTTACAGGAAGGCAGCTGACTGTATAACCAGATGTGATGCATATTTGATGAGCCTGCAGGTTTTATCTCCTCTAATGGAGGCTTTATCTTTCCTGACTGTGGATCAGTGCAACTACAATTAAAGAATCATTGTGTTCTAATCTCTGGCAGACGCCCATAAGGAACGATCTGAGTCTGAAATCAACTCCTTAGATTTAGGGAACAATTTGACTTTTCAAATCTCAGACAAACTTCAGAGTTTTACCTTCCTAACGGTGAAGGTCTAAGAACAGAGAAACGGTGAAAGTGGAACTTAAGAAAACGTCAAATCCCTGTGACGTTTGTAACAATTCTAATGACTACCTAGAATTACTGCCTCTGGGTTGAATGCCCTGTAAACCAGCCAAGTTGCACCAACTGTTTTCATCCATGTTTGTGAGAACATGGACGCTTCACACACAAAATATCATCATTTCATCATTTTAGGTGTTCAACAATCGTGTAAGTTATTGTCATAATTAGCGTATGAATTCTTGAGTTATAGCCAAAAACATATTTTGTGAGGTCACACTGACTTTTGCACTTTAATCAGCTCATCCTTGAATCCAAGTGAACATTTGTGCCAACACTCAAGGTGTTCATTGTGTTTTTAAGATATAGTTTTCACAAGAATGAGACAGACAGACAGACCACCAAAAACTATTTAGTTCATCCTTGAGTCCAAGTGGACATTTGTGCCAAATTTCAGGAAATTCCCTAAGAGCCTTCCTGAGATATCACGTTTATGAGAATGAGAAGGAAATAAGATCACAGTAACCTTGACCTTTGATCAGAAAATTCTAATCAGGTCATCATTGAGTCCAAGTGGATGATTGTGCAAAATTTAAAAAACAAAAATTCAGACATTGAGATATCACATTCATGAGAATAACATGGACACAAGGTTGCAGTGACCTTTGACCATCAAATTTTTATCAGTTTAATCATCAGTCTAAGTGGACATTTGTGCCAAATTTCAGGAAATTCCCTAAAGGCGTTCCTGAGGTATCATGTTCACAAGAATGAGATGGATCAAGTTCATAT